CCCCAAAACCCCAAAACCCCAAAACCCCAAAACCCCAAGACAATGAATGTAATTTAATACTAAGTTCAAATTTATTAGAAAAATTAAGATTTTAATAGGAATAAACTATACATTAACTTTAATTTCGTATCAAATGCAATACTCTTCATTACTATGACAATCAATTCGAAATACCAGAGGATTTTCTGGCTTTACTCAGGGGTCTGCTTTTAGAGTTGCCTCTTGATGCTCCTGATCTCATGCTACGCTTAGATCCACTTCTTTAACTATGACTTGAGAGTGACTTGTCTGGCTTATTGTGCTCACATGGCCCGGACTTGCAAGCATCACAACAGTGCCTAAGTTACTCTTGCTTATAGAGCCTATTAAAAACCTCAGGTATTTCAAGAGTTTGGTTTTGATTAATCAAAGGCTTTACTCTTTAATTTGAATGACTTCTTGCACTCTGTGATTGATTATTGACTGCTAGATTGCTTATATTAGAAAGCTTGTTGAAGTTTGCGAGGTTCGGTCTAAGTCTTACTGCTTTCTGATCGACATCAAAACTTTCAATAAGAGGCAGAGTTTTCTTTTTTTAGCGATCATCTCTAGCCATATTTATCAAACTCTCATATCTGCTTTACTCTACGAGGGGTTCCCTTCTGCTTTTAGCAGCTATTCTATCTACTGCTTTTTGATAGGTTGAAATTGTATCTGTGGCACCTGTCATACACTCGTTAATCTTAAATCTCTCCTCTTGAATCATCCTGATCTTTTAGTCTATTAAATCGTCCATGTCCTCACTGTTCTTCAATATCTCAACCTTCCAAATGATCTTTTCCTTTTCAGTCATTTCCGAGGGATCCATTGACAAGATCTTCTCAACATCTCCATCAGAATATGTTCTCTGTCTGTTGTAGAGCAATCTTTTCTTCAAAGTGCTTTATCTTCTGGCTTTATTTAGACTTTCCATATCTCTTTAAATTATCTCTAGTAAAATATTTATTTTTATCTACTTTAAACTTAAATTATGTTAAACTAACATAAGGGGTTTTGGGGTTTTGGGGTTTTGGGG